ACCAATGTAGAAGCATCTCCCAAAAATTGTGTGACTTACGTAAAAAAATGAGGGTTTACATCAAAGAAAGTCATATTATGATATTGCAATGATCAAGAGCATAAAAAAACCACACCGAAACATTTTGATTACTAATAGCTTTGGTTTGGGTGATCATTTCCTATAAGCCTGTATCTCTCAGTAGACGACTTATTTCATTCTTAATCTGTCCTGAAACTTGATTATAAAGTCTTCTGGAGTCCAGGTGATCCAAAGTCAATGCAAATCCGTGGAAAAACTGTACACTTTATGTTCAGGTCCTTCCAGACATAATACTAAGGAAACCCGTGCAGCATGAATTTCTTGGAGTCTCTGTTTATGTCCAATAGCCTCTCTCTGTATCACATCCAACTAAAGATCATCACACAATGCCATATGAAGACAGCAGCTGACTAGCTGGCAATTATTGGCTCTTTCATGCTGAAAATGTATTTATCCCAGGGGAAAAAGGCATCTGCATAATTAGCAAAAGCAGTTACACAAAAAATAATTAGCTTGCTGAAAGCCCAAAGGGGGAAAAACTGTAATTTTTGCTTCAAGAGGCTGACTAATTATATGCCAAATAACAAAACAGAGATGCACTGAGAATCATCGAGAAATCCAACGTGGATTTTAACTTCATATTCTAGCTGTAAAGGCTGCTGGTAGCCTAGCAACAAGCAGCATACTTCAGCATGCCAAAACCTCCCTCTGACTTAATGAAACACCTCAGATTACTATGCAAACCTCCCCCACCCCACTACGCATTTGATTCTTCTATTACTAAACAATAAAAACAAAGCCTAGCCAAAAAAATAATCAAGCAATTCAAAGTAAACTCAAAGAAGCACTAATGGACCACGATTTAGAAAGATAAGTAAATATAAAACATGAATTATGAATTATTTTCATAGACTTAAAATTCACATTCTGATTAGAATTGATTCATTAGATTTGTTCATGGGATCAGAAAATGCCCTATTATTTTAAGCACCATTTGTAGTAGACTAAGTAAGATTTCTGTTCATTTGTGTCTTGGGAACCACTAGTTAAGAAATCTTTAACAACTTACAGCATACTCGCTAATCTCCAAATTACTCCTGATACACAAACAATGCTGCTGCAATTGCTTTCTTTTACTTGAATCCTCAGTGAGCTGGTAGAGGAAACTTGCCCCAAACAGTAGTCTCAGAGCTAAGAGACCAGTTTTCATCATTGTTCTTCTTTGACCAGTTCTTTTGCCATATTTCACCATTTCAGAAGCCACAGTTGCTTTCCCACCCGCCCAGTACTGCTATATTCTGCAGTAAGTCAGGTTTGACAACCACTTTCAAGTCTTGTTGTAACTAGCACAACTCCAGTGCTCCTGGGCCAGGGCTCAGTTACGAGTGACATTTTAGCCAACAGCTTACTCTTGGTTACCCACCTGAGCTACCCACCAGAGAAGTACAGAGTCACCATATCCACCCATAAGACCACATAAAAAAAAGTTAGGCTTGATCTTTGCTAGTGAGCCAGGAAGTCATGATACAGCTTCAGTCAACCCTTCCATTCCAGAGGCACGCGTTAACCCTAAAAAACAGAAAGCCCTTCCCCAAGGGGCGAAGCGTGCTACTTCTCAGCCGGGTCCGTTCTGCAGCCGGTACGCACCCAACACAGGGAGCAGCTCGGGGCAGAAAACCCAGCGCGAGGGAGCTGACGCTGCTCCTTCCGCACTGCCATTTTACGCTGACAAGGGCTTACAGATTGCAGTCTGCACAAACATTTGCCAGTCCGCCTCCCAAAACCTCTGGGACACTAATGCAGCCTGCGTAGAGCTGGAAATAGTACATGCTAGCTACAGAGAGGGACTAACACGAGCTTTTAAGACAAGGTACAACTGCACCATGTTGCCTGAAGTCATCTGATCCAGGCCATATAACATGAAGGTGAAAGCATTAGTGGTGTGTTCGCCTGGAGTTACAATCTAAAAGGAGTAGTATTAATGATAACAGACAGACACCCTCATAATCAATACCATACTCTGCCAGACTCTGCAAGATTGAGATAGCTATTTCCTGAGAAAGGCAAATCTTTTGGATGTGCAATATTTATGATCTCCTCTGCTGGTGACTCTGACAACCGCTGAAAGTGTCACCTTTGTTCAAAGGCTGCAGGAGGCATCAGGGACACAAGAAACCTGACAAACTTAGCTTGTCTTTAGGTCATAATAAACTTGTGACCATGGGTGAAGATAAGCCTCCTCCACTGGCTTACACAACCTCAAAAAGATAAACTGAAAGTTGCACGGAGCTGTTGACACCGTAGATATGGTGAGTGCATATGCTGTATTTGTGCTGTGCTTGGAGGGTGAGGAAGAAGCAAAAAAACAGCTTATAGCACTATGGGAAACTGAGCCCTCCCCTCAAATACACACACAAAAAAGATATTAACTGATGTTCTTATTATTAGCTTCACAAATGAGAACTACTTTAAAATTAACTCACGCAACTACAGACTTTTTTTATTGTTAGGGACGACGAAAAGGTTCTGGCAGAGCAATGGGAGATGCCACCCCTTCCATGCCTTGCTGTCTTTGACCCCTTAACACTTCTCCACTCTCCCCAACTCACTTCCCCCCAGGCTGCTTTTCGGTCCCAATGCCCACACGGGAGATTCAATTGTGGAGAAATGCTAACACAGACACGCTCCAGGGATTGCACCCAGCCACAGCGCAAGCAAGGACAGCGAGACATCAGCAGATCAGGTTAAGCTGAGTGAGGAAGACAGGCGTACTTCTGTCTGGAAGCACAAAAAGCCTGTCGATGGAGTCAAAGACATGGGATAGGGTGTGTAAGGTCTCGGGCACTGTATGTGCAAGTTAAATCTTCAAATACATCAAAATGGTGACAGAGGAAGGGGTATTAAAAGAAAAAATTATTCTCAATGAAGCACTAGCAGATCTAATACACGTAAATGCTTTAATTGCACTTATAAAAAAAAAACCCAACATTCCTATGGAAACCTTCCTTGGCAATTTTAAAACAGATGGTTTGCTTTCTTGGAAAGAAATGGCACTAAGAACTGTCTGCCCAGAAGAGGTCATCCCCATTGTCCCGTCTTACTTCTTTTGATGTTTTCCATGGTGCCAGCAGCCTTGAATCACATCACAGCATGTGCTGGGATGTTCAGTCTAGAGACCAGAACCACCTCTCAAAAGCCAAGGATTAGCAAGTGATGTCTCTGGTACTGTTCTGGGATGTGTAGATGCTATAATGATTGCACAGCTAAAACCTGCATTGCAAATAAATTAACTCTAGTTTCATGCTCTTCATTGAAGTTTATTCTTACATGTATCTCACCACCTATTTCATTCTAAATACTCTTCTTATCGGTTGTGACATACCTGACTTTTTATGAAGATCACCTTCATTTGGATTAGAAAAACACTCCGTAAACTTAGCTTAAATTTGGCTAGGGGCACATTAAGCTCCAAAATCTTTCCCCTGACCCCTAGACAATAAACCATAAACAGAAATCCCACCCACAGTCATCATCCCATCACAGCATTTGTTTAAAAAGACCATGTAGCAATACACCTCACCACAGAGCACAAGTCTGCCTCCTCAAACTCCAGACAACAGCAATCTACATAGTACAGTGATGCAACAAATTAACTTTTTCTTTTTTGAAAGCCCATTCTATTCCACTACTAGCAAAACAAAAATTCTACCTTAGCCTAACCAAGTGGAAAGCAGAGAAGTTGGATCAGCAGTAAGCTTGTTTCAGTTCGAGTTAGGATTTCAGAACAAACACCTGGAGGTTGTAAACCTTAAGATGTTTGCTAAGGGATTAAATATTTACTTCCCCCCCCCTTTAAAAAAGTACAACAACATTTGTTTCTCAACTGCACTTTTTTGCCACTGTAAGCCTCATCTACATATACAGCCAATATTTTCCCACATTATGCAAAAGCATAATTTTAACCCATTCCATCGCAGAGGAACCTGCACTAGGTCTCCATCGTTCCCAAACGTACAAGAGAATATCACATCACATTTCTGAATAATCCAAAATAGAACTTCAGAATTTTCAAATAAGTCAATTTTATTATTTCCTGCAGGGATGAAGTTTACCATATTTTAAAATGGATATGGCAAGACGAATGGTGCCTAGAAGTGAAAAAGATTTTTTTTTTTTTCCAATTTAAAAAAGCAGAGACCTCTCTGCTCTCTTGGATTCTGAGAGCGTGGTGGGAAAGACTGGGGACATCACCTCTCCTGCTCTTGGCCTTGCGGAGGGTGTGAGCTTGATAGGAACCCGCAGCACTGAACCCATGTTCTTCATGTCTGCTCTACTCGGCTGTTGGCAGAAAGATGAATTCCCTCACCAAGAATTCTCTCAAAAATCTATTCCTAAAAAATGAGTGATACTTATTAAAAATACTTTCTAGCTCATAAGCTTATCTATAAGAAAAGCAGTAATAAACACTTTTTTTAAAAGTAAGCAAAATACTAGTCTCAGACAAGAAAGACAGAATTAAGGCTCTGATAAGGGTCTTTGACTATCAGTCACAAACATACAACGTATGCAAACTTAGGAACTGCAAAATGCAATCCCTAAACAATATGATCTTTAAATGGAACACTACTACATTAATATGTACACTTTCTGTGCTATTTAGGGCATTAAACCGAAAAGGTTTTTTGTCTTATATTACAGAAGATGTATTTCCCTAACAAAACTCAAGAGGAAAAGAAGGACAGCTCTAACAACACCTTCTGTTCTTGAAACTTACGCTTCATTCTCCTTCTGATACTACTAGGAAGACAGAGCAGATTAACTAAACAATGTTATTTGCTGCAAAAGCTATGTGTATACTTCTGAACAATCACCCATACTTGTTTTCCCTAACAGAACGCTCGCTCTGTGTCCATTTGAATGCCTCACCAATTGATAACCGCTAAAAACACCAAAAAGAGAATATAAGTACTTCTACTCACCACCTGAAGTCTGGATCATGTTTCCAGATTTTTGGACCTCATCAAATTTTGTAAAAATTACATTCAACCTGTTTGAAAGTTAAAGAAATACACAATGAACACAGTTGAATTTAATTTTTAGGAATCTTCTAATTTAAGATGTTATAAGACAAATTTTGCTTCACTCAGGTCATTGGGAGCACTGTCAAAAATATCAGTGTGGAGGGAAGTTATTTTAAAATTAAAAAAAAATCACAACATTCAACAGCTGATAAGAAAAACTGAGAAACAACTGATACTACAGAGGTGCAAGAGATATAATTGGAAATACTAAATTACTGAAGATGTGACATGTCTAATTGTAGATCCATTTCCAGTTCATTACCACTTTGTCTATATTAACTATTTGCAAAAATACCACAGAACACACCCCTAAAAAACAACTTCACACAACATTTGTCTTTGACCCCAATACCTCTTTCCCATTTATGTCACAGGCCCGGTGGAGCAGAAGATCCTTATCACATCTCATTATTCCTTCCCAGAGAGTTTATTACTTTAAGGCACATCGTGGCTGGACAAGAAGAGGCAACAGCACTGCCTCCCCACCTCTAAAACACCCCTTCCCTCCTCCCTCTGCATCCACAGGCTGCCATCTACTCCACCCTCAGGTCTGACCATGCTCCACCCTGCGCACTGGAGGTTGTGGCAAGAAGACAGCTTTCTTACCACACCTGACAGGGCTTTGGTTCTGGTGTGGGGTTTTTTTTTTTAATAAAGCCTTGGAACTGATGATATTGACTGTGGATTTTTTTACCTTTATGATAGCCTAAGCACAGGCTACTCTGAAGTGTCCTCTCTACACATGTAGAATGTACAGGAAAAACACCACATTAAATCTTAAATCCGTTAACTACACACCTGTAATAATTTTATTGGTTTTCCAAAGATGCTGTGGCATACTTGGGCAAAGGCACAGGATCCACATTAAGTGAAACCTGAGTGTTTACAGGATGAAAAAAAACAAACCCTGATCCCAGGAAAAGGTTCAATCATGCTGCTCCTGAAGCCTTCTAAAGGAAGAAAGGGAATAAAAAGCAGCCCAAAAATAGTGAAGACATAAGGACATCCTCAACTTACCGAGATTGGGGTAATCCTTTTTTACTAAGATCAGCTCTTACACGTTCACCAACATGTCTGTAAATTTCCACAAGGCTGTTTATTGCTGCATCACGAACCTGAATGTGAGATATGAGAGAAATCACTCATCTTTATAATTTAAATAAATAAATCCCTGCCCTACCTTGGAGAAAAATTTGCATATTTCTCAGCAACAACAGTTGCCACTATACACCTTACCACAGAGTTCATGAAGGAGCTTCCATCCCTGCATTTCAGATATTAGCAGTATCAGCAGGTCTAATTTAATTGAAAAGGCAGTCAAGACATAAGATGAAAGGTTTTCTACATAGGGACACACACAGGGAGCTCAGCTGCCTTTGCCAAACTCCACCCATTGTGTGCAACAGGTACTGCATCAAAAAACCAAGGAGAGACACATGAATGGACCTTATATTGCTAGTACATTATAAAACAAACTGATTTTTAATGCCATCCTACAAACTTACATTTCTGTGTTGATAAGAAAATATGGAGGGAGGGAGGAGTAATTAATCACCTGAGTCACCATGAATTTTGCATGTTTTCCAAACCGATTTGAAGAAACTGCTGGGTACATCCTTCCCTCCACCCAACAGAAGAGCCACAAATCTGATTAAAGTGTCACCTTTCCGTACCGAACCCCTTTCTTCCATCAGACACAGCAGGCAGAGAAGGTAAACTATCAGCTCTGCCTACAGAAATACCTCGGAGCCATGTACTGCTGCTTCTCAGAAGATGGCCTGGCAGCTACCCAAGCACCCACACACATCAGGACCAGACACAGGATATTTTGTGGGCGCAAGCTAGAATCGCCTATAGGTGGGAGTCAAAGGGCAGGCACACGTGCCCTGCTTCCTAGCAAAAAAAAAAACCCCTAACATTTGACACACGCTCACCTCACCCTGTTCTCCTGCTCCGCAGCCTTCCCATTCAGCAGGTCACTGCCAATTTCCAAACCGCTGCCTTCACTCACGCCAGCCCTTCCCCAGCAGTCTTGCCTCTCTTCTCTCTGCCCATCAGCCCCGGACGCTACCAGGCAGGACTTCTGGGCACAGCTCAGGAGGGACTCTTTGGTGTCGCCAGTTCCTGGGTATGCAGACCCTAACCCAGCCTCGCTCTCTGCCTCCGAGGGGCAGAGGAGGGGAAGGGAGGTCGCAGCACCTCCACCTCTGCCTGCAGCGAGTCCACCTGCCCCGGTGCCAGCCGCAGGGAGACGGCAGCCAGGGCATGCCGACAAGCTCCGCCATACCCCCAACCTGCCGCCATGCCCCCTCCGGCCGCGGCACGCAGTGCAGCCGACCGTGGAGGTCCTCACGGCGTGATCTGGAAGGATCGCCTCTGTGTGTCAAGTTAGTCAGAGGTATGGATGCAGGACTGGGTAAACCCCATATCGGGCAAGGCAGGGAGCTCCTACTATCACACCTGCTTTAATCTACCACAGTAATAACAAAGCTTTAATGCTTAATTTTATTTTTGAGAAAATAGTCATAGCTTAAATACAGTTTTCATACCAGATGCTCACTGGGTTACACAAGCTCTTAAACTGCATTAGCTGAAAACAAAAAAAACCTAAAAAAACACTCATCCTGAAAAGGGCAGTAACATGTCCGCAACAAAAGGGACAAACAGTGCATTTGACCTGGATCTGTGTTTCTCCATCGCCTCTCACCAAGAGAGGGCAGCATTGACCGAGCATCAGGCAGCTGGGGTCTCCCAGGGCTGCGGAGAAGGCACTCGCAGCACAGAAGCACCCCATGGGGAGCCCAGGACCAGCCCCTGCCCCAGGACAGGCACTGTTCAACCAGGAGCCACTTTGACAGCAGTTTGTGTCCGATCAGTTCGGGCATGGGCTTTCTGGGGATGAGACACCAGACCCAGGATAAGGGGCAAGAGATCAGCCTTAATTCCCACTGCAGCTGGGGACTAGGATAATGAGCTGTGCCAGAGGCAGTGCAGAGGGAAAACATGCTTGAGTCCCCTCACCAACTTTCTGCTTCATTCAACAGCTCACCAGCGGCAGGACCAAGGTGTCTGTCTGTGCAACAAGTGAAAGTCCTAAACCCAGCGTCCCCTCAAAGACTAACAGCTTGCTCAGCCATGGCTCAGAACTACAAAGGACCCTGAACATCCAACTTCCTTCAAAACTTCTTGGGGTGACAGGTTTATCCTCCTACATTGGCACAACCGGCAAGGGAAGGCTGCTTCACACTCAGTCGTCCTCTTCACCAAGGGAGGCCCGGACAGCTATGGGAATATGGCCAACTCCAGAGCCAGCATAAACCCATTCCCCAGCTGGCCGCCCCATGCTTCCTTCCAGCTAAACACTCATGTGTATGCATCACCCATGCTAGGAGGGCAACAGGGATATTCAAAAACTGCTAATAACCATGTTATATGACATTAGTTTGAACCCTGCTTCCCCATCCCTCCTCTTCTCACTAACTTCACATACTTGCATCTGATTTCAGATTACATCCTGTCCAGGGCAGGACAAAAAGCACATAGAAGTGACAGATTTTCTTTTTCAACATGTATTTAAACCAGCGATGCAAACCAAATTGAAGTATCCTGTACAGCTTTCATGCCTTATTCAGACTCTCCCTGTACAACTTCTGGCAGTGCATGTGGCCAGGCTGTCCAACTGGTCCCATTTGCCCTCCCTGCCCAGACTGGTTCTCTTCTGAAGGCAGAAGGGTGCTGCAGGGAGCCCAGAGGTATCCCTGCAGCCTCCCCTGCATTCAGGCTGTCAGGCACAGGAGCTCCCTTCCCACAAAGGTTTCCTGCTCTGTTCACTTCACCTTCACATTCATTGTGTTGTGTTGAACCCTTGGAGTAATTGACATGCTGGTATACTTGACTTTAGGTATACTTCAAATCATACCTCTTCAAAACCAGCCAAGGGCTCTTCATGAACAGTATTGTTCAGAGTTCACCAACAGCAGCACAATTAGCTAATTTACCAGCCGGAATGCAGAGCCTCGCTTACCAACAAGGCAATCAGCACAACCTTTAGATGTGAATCACAGGAAAAAGCTCACCTGGCTGTTTGGATCTCCAAGTAAGTTACATATATGTGGCACTATCTTACTCAGTGTTAAACTCTGAGCTCCAGATCTAGGAATAAAGAACAAAAGAGCACCGATGTGAATCACAGAGCGGGCTTGCGTACATAACGTACGTTTGCAGGAGGCTCTGACTTACGCATTGAGTGTTGCAATAAGGCAGAGGCAAATCCCTTCTCTTGTCCGGAAATTCTTGTGTTTGAATCCTCCTAGCATCCTGTCCCACACATACTGTGGAAGACAGAAAAAAAGGTGAGACAGGAAAAAAGGAGGTGGGGGAAGAGACAGATTCTTTCTTCCAGCAGACATATACCATAACATCTCTAGAGCTTAAATATAAGCTTTACATCCATCCAATGAGAACAGGACAAGAAGTAGAAAGACATTTTTAGATCCAGCTAATTCTTTGTTCTGCGCTGACTTCACAGTAACTCCCCACTAGCTAAAACAATACTTCTACTTACAGAAAGCAAGTACCTTCCACGGACCCAGAACAACTACACTGACGTCCACCCATCCCATCCTTGGGAAATCCACTGACACGCACACTCCCATGCATATCCTGACATGCAACAGCATTCTCAAATGAAGCGAATTCCTCATAACACGGCGTAGGGAGATGAAGCTTCATTTCAGACAGGGCCACAGGAGAAAACTTTCTGTCTGACAGAAAAAAGGTCTCCTTTTTAAGCAGCCAGTCACTCTCACACACTGCAAAGGGCTGTGGAGCATACCTGAGGGTTAGCAGCTTGTTCCATGATTTTTAGCAGCAAGGTCTGATCCTGCTCCCTCACTGAGTCCTTAGAGTCTCCCAGTCTATCAAGTAAACTTGGCAGCACTGAGGAAAGAAAACAGGAACATCCAGATCCCTCAACAAAAAACCGTCACAGTGGCACAGCCCCTCTGCTCCCCCCGCCCGATGGAGGGACGAGCCCTCCCGCCCTTCAGCAGAGCCTGAAACCACTGAGAACCTCCCGAGTGCTCTCCAGGGGAGAAAGGAGGCTTTTGTGTACAGCAGACAGAGGGGATCCCACCAGCACGACGGCGACACCCCCCCACACACACACAGACCCCTTACCTGTGCCAATCTGGGCCTTGAAGCGATCTTGCAAGCGGGACACTAGTGCGGAAAGGATGTCAATCCCCAGGAGAACCACCTGCAAGCACAGCACAGACGGCGTTTTAGCGCGCAGCCCATCACCCCTGGCCTTGGCCAATGTACCCGACAGGCGGGAGCGCCGGCACACGCTCCCCTGGGAGAAGGGCCCCTTCCCACCCACGCCGTCGGCACTGCGTCCATCTGCTCCGGGGCTGCGCTCGCTCGGGTAACGGGATTGCACAGATACACACAACTCTTCCTTGCACGGCTTCTGACAGACAAGCTGAGGGGTTTACAAACAGAAAAGCCCCCAAATTATTGCTCCTTGTGACATTTACAAGCCAAAATTCACTGCCAAGAACTTGACAAAGCCAACAACTGTAATTGCCGCTCGATGCTAAAATCATACATATGTGCAATGTACACATACCATATGCATAACAACTTCAGTATTTACTGTAACTAGCATTTCTAATTAATTGTAATTATTACACTTACAGCTAGAAAACGGTGTGCACTAACAGCAGCTTAATTATTCACTTGCAGAAATTAAACCCAACACTTTCATGACGTGACTGAAACCTGGGGAAAGGCACTTTCTTTGAGAGGCTTCAGGGGAGGTTGCAGATCAGAAAACCCACTCTGACTAACTCCATTTAATAACAGTACAAAAAAATACATCATATACCGAATATACTGTGTAGCCTGTATACTAAACACTTAGCAAGACCCTATAGATCATGATAGTTCTGTATGACACAGCTCTCTAAGTTTTCAGTGAGGCGCTGAGGCTAGTAGCCCCTGGAAGTGTTACGGACAGCCAGGCTTCTAGGGCGGTGTCACCTGGGCTGTCACAGCGCAGCCCCGCTCCCTGCGGGCGGTGAACACCCTATACATACATGTATCTATCTATACATATGCATGTGCACGGACGCGGCTGCTGGCGGGGCGGCCGTGGTGGGCAGCGCCGCGGGCGGGCGG